ATATATATATATATATATATATATATATATATGCACACATGTGGCCCCACCTCTTTAGTAATAAATATTTAACATTTTTCCCCATTCTTCACAATGCTTAAGCCCAGATATGCAAGACAAACAGTTCTAGGAGCTAGGGACAAAGAGTAAGATACAGAATCTATCCTCTAAGGAGCAGCTTGAAAGAGGTGGGAGTTGGGAGCCAGAAACAAACAGCTGATTACATAAAGTGGTAACTTTATGTGAGGGGAAAACAAAGGGTTCAATTAAAGCATACAGAAGACAGGAAAAGGGTCTAAGACAAATATGGGGCGGGTGGTTCAAGGAAGGCTTTGAGGAAGATGCAAAGCTTGAGGAGAATACTGGAGAATAAACAACAGTGGCTGGCGCAGTGACTCAGGCCTATAATCCCAGCACTTTGGGAGGCCAAAGAGGGCAGATCACCACCTGAGGTCAGGAGTTTGCGATCAGCCTGGCCAACATGGCGAAACCCCATCTCTACAAAAATTCAAAAAATAGCCAGGTGTGGTGGTGGGTGCCTGTAATCTTAGCTATTTGGGAGGCTGAGGCAGGAGAATCACTTGAACCCGAAAGGCAGAGGTTGCACTAAGCCAAGATTGTGCCACTGCACTCCAGCCTGGAAGACAGAGCAAGATTCCATCTCAAACTAACTAACTAACTAACTAACTAACAAATAAATAAATAAATAAATAAAGTTAGCCAAAAGAGAAAGCGACTCTGTAGAAAAGTTAGGAAGTGTCCCTTGAGAAGGTTAGGGGAGTAGGGAGGCATACAGCACAGCACTGTATCTTAGACCGATGGTAGGAAGGCACATCAAACTGACTTATACCAAGGCTGACATCTTTATCAGCCTCTCCATCAAACTGATTTTTTATACCAAGGTTAGGCTTTAAACCAAGGGTGCTAAATAAAGAGCAAAAAAGAAGTTTTAGGCAGGAAGTAGCATAATCAGATGTACTAAAAACAGGATCACGCCTGTAATCCCAGCACTTTGGGAGGCCGAGGTGGGTGGATTGCCTGAGGTAAGGAGTTTGAGACCAGCCTGGATAACATGGTGAAACTCTGTCTCTACGAAAATACAAAAATTAGCCAGATGTGGTGGTGGGCACCTGTAATCCCAGCTACTTGGATGGCTGACGCAGGAGAATCACTTGAACCCAGGAGGCAGACGTTGCAGTGAGCCAAGATAGCGCCACTATACTCCGGCCTAGGTGACAGAGTGAGATTCTGTCTCAAAAAACAAACAAACAAACAAAAAAAACCAAACAAAAACAAAAACAAAAAAAAAACAAAACCAGGATCACTCTGGCAGCCAAGATGAAAGGCAGACTGGAAGCAGACAGACTAGATACAGGGAGCCCTGAAGTTGTGAGATGATCTGCAGCAGTCCAGGTAAGATCCTGAGGCCATGAATCAAATAGTGGTGGTGGCGATGGAAGGCAGGGTGGGGGGAGACAATAAACAGGACCGAACAAACAGGATGAGGGAGGTTGTTAAGACACACAGCTTTCCCAAATGGGCAACAGATAAGTAAACATATACAAAAAAACAGACTGCAGTGAGTTTGGAGGAAATAGTACTAAAATCAGCATTGAACGTGCAAAGTTTTAGTGGTCTGTTGGGATAGCCTTGGAGAGATATTTGGAAGGCAGGCACCTACCCTAACCTAGTTTAGGAAACAACTCAACTAAAGATGCATACATATGTTTTTAATTATTATCATTTTTTAGAGACAGGGTCTCACTCTGTTATCCAGACTGGAAGGCAGTGGCATCATCATAGCTTACTGTAACATTCAACTTCTGGGCTCAAATGCTCTTCCTGCCTCAGCCTCCCAAGTAGCTGTGGAACTATAAGTGTATGCCGCCATGCATGGCTAATTCTTAAATATTTTTTTATAGGGACAAGGTCTTGATATGTTGCCCAGGCTGGTCACAAACTTCTGGCCTCAAGCAATCCTTCTGCCCTGGCTTCCCAAAGTGCTGAGATTACAGACGTGAGCCACCACACCTGGTCTATGAATCATTTTATAGCAAAGGATGTTATGTGAAAAGAAGATTGAGAATGAAGCCTAGGGGAAAAACAACCTTTAATAAATGTACACAGAGATGCAGGACCAAGGTAGGCCTTTATTATGAGATAGAATTTAAAATGTTCCCTCAGTTTAGGAGTCCACAAACTAGGGCCCACCACCCTATTTCTGTAAATAAAGTTTTACTGGAACATGCCATGCCCATCCATTTATGTATTATCAATGGCTGCTTCTGTGCTGCAACAGCAGAGTTGAATGGTTGCAAAAAAGATCACATGGCCCACAAAGCCTAAAATATTTACTACAGGTTGAGGATTCTTTATCTGAAATGCTTGGGATCAGAAATGTTTTGGATTTTGGTTTGGGAATATCTGCATATACATAATGAGATATCTTGGGGATGAGATCCAAGTCTAAACATGAAATTCATGTATATTTCTTTCTTTTTCTAAAAGAAAGTTCGAGGCCAGGTTGGTCTCGAACTCCTGGGTCGGCG